TATGCAAAATATCCAACAAGTATTTGCTGAATGTATATATTTTTAAATTTGATAAATAAACATTTGACTAAAGAAAATATGTCGGATAATCATTCAGATAATTATAATTAATCAGATAACATTATCAGAAGCGATAAAAACTTCACGATACTGATGGATAAAAACAAAAAGATATTGTACATGAGTATTATTCTTAAGGATTATCACAGTTGTCTAAATATTTATTACAGATGCACTTTGTAAAGGTTTTTATCAAATTTTATACACCTTACGCAGTTTTTGCAGTTTCTATTTTAAATGTTTTATTCGTGAAGCTTGAAATAAAATTCTAGTATTATCTCCTTAGTGCCTATCTTTTTAATCGAATAATTGAAAAAACATATTTGATTAGCAATATATAATTTAATTTTTGTTTGTTAAGATAACACACGGATTAATTTCACTTTTAAATATACTGTACGAAAACTTCTTTCTTGCCGCTTGTATATATATATATATATATATATATATATATATATATATATATATATGTATATATATAATATATTTTAATTTTTACCTAAAATCCCAGTACTTTTTGTCTTGGATAGACAAGTGTCTATGTTTACGAGAATACATGGTACCGCGCGCGTTAGCCAGCCACACATCATATCCCGCATCTGCTAAAATAAATGCTAAAATTTCAAAGAAGTAATTAATATATAATACCAATAATAAAAAACAAAAATAGCAGCACACAGATGGTACAAAGAATAAAAATTTATATAAATTTTGTGTAATAGTTATGTGTCAGATCATTAAAAAATTAAAATATTTTAATATTTTATTTAAAAAATAATTTCATAATTTATCTAAGTAAAAATAATGATTAACTTATTTTATACACATATTCCCCACCTAAGCTTTTTTCAGGTCCGGAAAGAACCCAAATTGCCGAGCTACCCAAAATACCGTGCATTACAAACGCAACAGGTTTTTGCACTACACTGGAATTAGATCGCCCTGTTATTCGATGCAGCTCCAAGATATAACCGTCGTAAGTAATCACTTTGTGAAGCTCGCCATTGTAGCCATATTTGTCCACTAATTCAAGCTACATAAAATACATTTTTTTCAAACTGTTAAGATCGAAAGATCGGCAAGAATTGTAGAAGTAAAAAATTGCAATTATAATGATGACACAACATTAATATTAATATTACATAACAAATAACGAATTCTACATAATAATATTACATAAAGAATATTACATAATATTAATATAACAGTATTAATATTAATTATAAATTTAATTTAGTAATGCAAATTGTTTTGCTAATATAATTTTAATTTAATTTAATGAAAATATCTAGGAAGTAATTTTATTCAACGTTGTTTAATACACTATTGTTTTCATTAAATTAATTGATTAAAAGTAATAAAACATTAATGTTTCCATTAGTAAGACAGTCAGATATTTTAAAGTGAATTTCCGCGTACTTTATATTTTACAAATTAACTTTTTTATGCTTTATAATTGAAAAAAAATTGATGGTTGTACTTACAGTGGTAAGTTCCGCATCTGACAATATAGGTGCAAAGAACTGTGGCTTCACGAATTTTTCCTTCGATGCTAGTATCTCGTCAATTCCTGGACTATTTGATATCTCTTTCACAAAATAATCCGATGTTTTATTTATGAAATTGTTTGGCATCGCACTCGTGGATACCAGAATCAAAGAAGCAATTAGTAGCAGTAACATTATGTTGCCACATAGATCACTGGGAATTGAATGGAAGTGAAATATATTCTCTTTCTTTCCGAATGTATAGCGCTTATTTATCTAAAATATCTCCGGAATGTGGTTTTATATGATCTTATCACGTTGTCCTTTGTTAATCTTATAATGGTCGTAATTTTATAATAGGATTGACGCGTTGAGCCATAGTTGAAGCGTCATGGAAACAATCTATGAATCTTATTGACATCTAAATGGATCGATTGTTTATTTGCAAAATACTGCAACATTCTGCAGTTTTTTTAAATGTAAGTGCAATATCACGTTTATCTGATTATTTATCAAAATATAAATTTCTCTGCAAGATATTAAAGAATTGTTACAATTAATTAATTGTTAATAACACAATAAATTATATTAATAATTGAATTATTTCAATATTGAAGTGAATCAATATAGATAATTAAATTAAAAATTTAATTATCTATATTGATTCACTTCGATATTAAAATAATTCAATTATTTATTTGATATTTATTATCACACACGCTATTTGAAATATCAAAATTAATAATACTACAAAACAATACATTTATTAATATTTATTTTGATTTAGTTTATTGCTATATTATTCTTAACATAGTTACATATTTTTTTTACTTATACATATTCTTATAAAATAACTTACAAACCAAAGCTACAAGTACAACAGAGAATTCTTATTAAAAGACATAGAAGTCTAAAAGTATATATACTTATATATAACGAAATAAGGGACAAATTTATCGTTTTCAGGAACTTTATCAGATACAATGAATAGTAAGACTCTCATCAAACACCAAGTTTGAGCAACAGTTTGTTTTAACTTATAATCTTGTAGATTGCGAAGAGAAGCTAAGGTAAAATTTGCCGATGGTTTATTTTTAACTTCAGGTAAACCATACTGAAATAAATAAAGTCTAGCGTTTAATGTGTCTACATTGAAATCATATTCTTTGTTGGTAATAAAATGATTTAAAACTAATTTAATCTCCATTGGTGCAACGCCTTCAAAAATGTCATGTATCGGGTCAATGATGTAATTTCAGTGAAATAAAAATATCGCATCTCGTGCAGAATGCTTATCTCTCTGACTTCGCACTGTTTTCTCGCATTTTCGATATCTTTTTGAGTCACTTTTTCTTCGATCATTTTGATGTGTTCGTCGTGCAATTGTTTCGTCTGTGGAATTGCACTGGTGCCTTCGTGCCTTATAAAAATCAAATCGATTGATCATACATAGCCTACAAAAATATAGAGCTGCAGGACTCAATAAGTCAAATAATTGATGAGCAGCTAGTCCATCAGCAGTAACAGCAGCAAGAGATGCTCGCAAAACTCTCTCTTTTCCATTTTTAGACACAAGACTCCTTCGTCACTTTCCAATTTCCTTAATTCATAAATAAATGGTCTCAAAATCGCATCCATTCTGTATTTCTCGATATTAGCTGTATGACAAGGAGCCAAAACGTGTATCTTCCCGAGAAATAAATTTAGATCTGGAGGTAAATTTTGAATTACATAGTAAAATACATGAATTTTATGAGACTTTACCTTTGAGCCCAAAGAGTTATTAAGGGGATGCTGGAGTTACCGGCCGGACATTATATTTTTTCGAACAAGAATATTTTTTATTGGTTGCATAGAATTGTAAATCCTTTTGCAGGAGTAAAGTGTACACAAAAACGGAATTCGGGCTGCTCGACTTTATTTGGAAAAAAAGAATTAATAACAAAATTTGTTTCTATTCATTAAGAGGATGCTGAAGTGACGGGCGAACTCCGACGCGAAAGCGCCATCATTTCGATGGTACTAAAAATGAAATGACATTATCGGCACAGCCTACGGACCTATGCCGCGTAGGTCCGTGTGTACGCATTTGTTTGTAGTGGTGACTCACTACACTGACGTGTGGTCTGTGTACGTGTGTCATCGGAAGTTTGTAAACAAACGATGCTTGCGCTTGTTTCCTCGACTGAAATTTCGTCGCAAGGCTGCAATATAATGTCCGAGAAAACATAAGCCTATACAAGGTGTCAAATAAATACAAACTAAATATGACAAAATAATAAATGAAAAATATACATATAATACTATATATATCATTGAAGAAAAATGTCATATACTTTTCTTACTTTTATCCTTATGTAGTAAATACTAAATAACTAATTAATCAATTAATTAATATATACATATACACATATATTCAATAAATAGTTATCTTTATTTTGTATTTTATATGATAATGACTGAAATAATGAAAGTATATATTATTTCAGTTATATAAAATACAAAATAAAGATAACTATATTCAATATGTATATGTATGTATTCAATAATTAATTAACTTATTTATTTATTTTGTATTTATTACATAAGAATAAAAATAGGAAAAGCATATAACATATTTTTCCAATTAGATATATAGTATTATACATACATTTTTCAAATAAAATATTTTATCATATCTAACTTATATCTATTAGACACCTTGTATAAGTCTATTTTGTCTCGTATGTACATCATTCAGCCATACGATAGAATTTCATTTGCGAGAAAAAAGGTTAAATGACCTTATAAATTATCTGATAAAATATAAACAGACCACACGTGCAGTAAATTGCTAACTAAAATAAATACGTATTTCTTCAAATCTGTCAGCTGACGTTAGATCGCCTATGACAATATTTCTTAAAATCTGCCAGTTCACGAATAAATCGTCTTTAACTCTCTTTTTTCTAAACGGTCAGCTGACGTTAGATCGCCTCTGACAATATTTATTAAAAATTGTCAGCTCACGATAGATCGCCTCTGACAATATTTCTTACAATTTGCCAGTTTACGAATAAATCATCTTTAGCTCTCTTTCTTCTAAACTGTCAGCTGACGTTAGATCGCCTGTGACAATATTTATTAAAAATTGTCAGCTCACGATAGATCGCCTCTGACAATATTTCTTACAATTTGCCAGTTTACGAATAAATCATCTTTAGCTCTCTTTTTTCTAAACTGTCAGCTGACGTTAGATCGCCTGTGACAATATTTATTTAAAGAAGAAGAAGAATTAAAGAAAAATAATTGTTATCTTTCAATAACAATTATTATATGGAAAAACAAAAGTTTTGCAATGCACATTTGTTATTGGCCAAAGTTCTAAATCACCAGATATATCATCAATTTTAAAAATATTCAAGTTATCTGAATTAAAAAGGATAAGTATACAGCGAACTATATGAACAAAATTTTTTTACCAATAATTGAAGTAGTGCCATCTTTGTGTGTTACAAAGTTATGTATCTGTATAACTTTACTATTAATTATACAATAGCAATCAGCCTGAGAGAAACTATAAATTGACAATATATAATTATTAAAATTAATTTTTTTGTATTGTTTGCAAAATGATATTAATGGGATTGTCGGTCCGTGACAATGCTCAAACAAATGACTTGCAGGTAAGTTTTCATTTATATTTGAAACAAAATTCGCTTCATGTAACCTTTTACAAAGCTGGATTAATGGTTGTTTTGCAGACTCAATAAGACGCTTCAGCTTTCCTAAACAATTTTCAAAAGGAAAAGCTGCGAAATTATCCAAGGGTCCATACACTGCGACTTCTGCTGGTAAATGAATTAAGCAATAAACATTATAAATTAAAAATTCCAAACCATACAGATGTTCACTGTGTTCAACAAATATTCTTAAAAGTTGCGAAACTATCTTACAACCCAATACCGATATATGTCGCTTTGAACATAAAATTACAATGGCTGTATGTAATAATAAAAAATGTTTGTACACAGCTTTATCAACAACATTGCACAACAGAGCTGGTCCCAAATATAAAAGAAAAGTCCGAAATTCTGTAGCTTTAAACCGAGCTAGTTCTCTTAAAGGTCTTGGTTTTCTATTTATTTCTTTAGGAATGAAATTACTCAAAGCGGTCATATTATCAGAAAGAGTTTGTACCACATTCGCAGACAATCTAACTTTCAAATTTCCATTAATCCAACATTGCAAAAGCTTACGAGTCACACCTAAGCAGACATTGTGCATATAATCGATTGGGAAAGAAGTCACAAGTCCAATGTTAAGCTGAAGTAAAGGAGAGTCACCTACATGGTGATCCTCATCTTGTTTTGATTTAAAGGTATCATCATTTCTAAGATCGGCGTTAACATTTCGAAATATCACTCTTCCATTAAAATAGTTCCCCGATACAATACATTTTTCACACGAGGAGTAACCCCCGTGTGATTTAATGCATTTTAGGTATGAACGTGCAGGAGCATCACATACAAAAGAATGAACTGTAACTCTGTAATGAATATTATTGAAATCAAAACCGTTTTTAAGCAGTAAAGAAAGCTCTTCTATAAACTCCTTTAAAAAACTAGCTAATGGCTTCGGCTTTGATGTTCCACAAAAAACACCAATAGGAAAAGGAGTTTTATTGTCTGAATTTTGAATAAGCCCTAAAATTGGCCACAACTGGGTATTGGCACTCTTAAATAATGGCAACCCATCAACATTAAAAGTTAAATTAATAACTGCATCCGAAAATTTTAGATTACGCGTTAAGTGTTGTTCAATGGCACTTTGAAGTCCCATATACACAAATTCTCCTGTTTCCATCATTTTCACATTGATTTTTGAAGGAGTTTTTAGCAGAGTTCTCACATCAAGAGGCAACTCAGGATGAAAAGGTACTAAAATTTGCAGCAATGAAATAATGGCCACATGTGGAATATTCACGTTTGATACAGTCCATTTTCTTAAGAGGATGCTGAAGTCATATTGTTACCGACCAAAACTTCAATTTTCTAAAAAAGGTGGCGTTTTTATTGCTTTAATAGAATTACAAATCCTTTGGTGTAAATAAAGTACATATGCTAATCTTTCGGCAGTTGGTCAAATTTAACCAAAAATAAAAAAAATTTTTAGAAAATTTACCGACAATGTCACCTCAAAGAATTATATCTTTTATATCAAAATTATACTGCTTCAATCTGCAAAACAAGACCAT